CTCTCTTAAAATAGTTCATTAATTGCTTTCCTACCTCATCAAATGCTTCAAATATGTCAATGCTTGGTTGGTGAATGGTGCAAACAATTGTTCTTCCTGTTTCAGCCACGTTCTTCACTGCTCGCATAACAATTGCAGCTGCTCTTGCATCCAATCTAGTTGTAGGTTCATCCATGAAAATAATAGAAGCTCCACAGATATCGTAAGCCACTATCTCTGCTTAGTAACACCAAGCATGCCAACCAAGCAATCTTTGATTTCATCAAGCTCAATGATCTCAAGGACTTCTTTCACAAATTCCTGTAAAGATGTGCAGTAGCAACAAAAGTAAAATAATGTTTAAACTATTGTTGTAGATTAAAGAGTAAATTTAACTTCCTTATATATAGGTTATACAAATTTAGTTTTTGAATCAATTTCAGGATGCAGACGCAGCCAATCAGAATAAGCCACTGATTCTTCAATTGTAATTAGTGGAGAATGTATGTCGGTTTGCTCACAGTAACCCGAAATCCTAGCAAACGTCTCCTGAACCTTAGGAAACCCTCCAATTCTAATATCTCCTTCAATAGTGCCACTAGTTTTTCTTCCAGCAAGAACGTCCATAAGAGTTGTTTTCCCAGCTCCACTGACACCCATCAATGCTGTAAGAACACCAGGCCTAAATACACCTGTAATGTCACAAAGAAGTTGTAGTTTTTTCTGAGTGAACCCCCTTTCTCTCATTGCCTGAAATCAAAGAAAAATGACACAATCAACCAATGTAGTTTGATCCAATTAGTTCTAAATATTTAACAGGTACATAATATTTATAAGAGATTTGTTTATATGATTACCGCAGGGATGTCAACATAGTATTGCACATTTTGAAACACCAGAGTTGGGGTTCAAAAGGTAAAACCACTCGACTTGTAAAATAATATTACCCACCCTTATTAAATGAAACAGGGATAAACTTATAAGACGATAAATAAAGGAAAAGAATCATGTGAAGCAATGGTTTCAATAATTATAAGAGAATGAAGAAAAATCTAAAAATACACGACCTTTATGAGATTTTGTAGTAGTGTTAGGAGAATCCGTAGATTTTACTTCTGCATTGGCAGCACCAGAGGAATCTTCAGATCCTTGAATTTGGGAAAGCTTTTCATTTGAAATAATAGCACGAGAACCAGGAGCTGAATTCATTTTGAAATGAAATAAGCATGTATCACTCTACAATTCTTATGTTGACTTCATGTAATCAAAAGACAAACTTACAGTTAAGAAGGTTAAAGACAAGGTAAATCCAATGTTGAAAATTATTATAAATCCAAGTAAGGCATCAAGTGATATCCAAAATAAGTATCCGTGACAGTGCAATCCACGGCTTTCAAGTGTTTCTTGCCCTATGGTAGTATTCGCTGTCAATGTCTAGACAAAATAATGAAGAGCATAGAATGAATAAGCAGATCATGGCCATCTATTTACTTGATTACTACATAAACTGTAAGTAAAACAAGCAGTCCCAAAACCTTTGTTAAATATCATAGATCCAAAAGCCTGTGCACCGACTCATATATTAAACTTTAAGGTTGTGTTTGGATTATGGATTTTGATAAGGATTTGGAAAGGAAAAGGGAAAATGTGAGTGAAATTTCAATGAAATATAAGCTAGATCTTTTCTCCATTTTCCATTCCCTTTTTAAATCATTGTCAAAATCCATGATCCAAACATAGCCTAAAAGATCATCACAAGCATCTAATCTACAAATTATGATTACCATAAAAGGGTAAAATATCATATTATCTAGAAAAGAAAGAAAAATGACAGAAAGACACGTAACTGCAACTAAAATAAACAGTAAGCAGCAATATTGCCAACAAGGATTGACATATCAATAAGATGTGCAGCGCCCAAATGAAGACAATTTTATGGATGAAAAAGTACTGGACAACTTAATTAGAACTCTGAACATTCCATGATATCAGGAAGAGAAGGTACAGAGTACATAGATTATGCTTGGGCAAATAAAAATTGTGCAATGAGGTATTGGAAAAATGATAAGTTCATGGTAAAAATTCCAAGCATTAGAGCATTGGTGAAAATAGGTGGAGTTCATGCTAAAGAAATGTGGTTCTCGTGAGGATGATCAAGTGGATCGGATTTTGTTGTCTACCCAACAAATTGAGAAATTTTGTTGCTAATGGTAACTGATATAAAGAATGATATCCTATATAATTGGCCTTCCACCATTATTGTTTTAGAAGTGGTCCTCATCTAGCCCTTGCTAAGCTGCTGTCTCAGCATGAAACTCAAAGAATTTGTACAGTGCCGCAAGAAGCAACTTGAATATTGTGTTAGAGGAAGCAACAACTCTGGCTTTCAGATACTCACCTTTTGCCTTCTAGGTGCAAGAAATTCATTTAAAGCAAGGCCTATCTCACCATGTCATCGGGGAAATCCAAAATCCCCACCTCAACCAAGTTGGAATAGAGACTGCAATCAACAAGACGGTTTAAGTTCATCTTCCTAAACAACTATAAAAAAATAAAATTGGAAAAGAGTTGTTGAAGCCTTATATTTTGGGATACGGAAACCACTAAATAAAAAGACAAACAATATCAACAAACTCCCAGCTGTGTTAGAAGCAACCATGGTGCGAAGGTAGATGCTAAGAAACGAAACATGGATGTTGCTGCCAAGTGTACCGCAAAAAATAGACGGAACTGGCGAAAGAACCTAAGATACAAGGCAATGATAGAAATTAATACAACATTAAGATGTTTATATTGGATAGCTTTATATACAATGTTGGGCCCATTTCTTATCCGCTTATGTTTTTGGCACTACTGGTGACCTAACAGTTTGTGTTGGGTATGCGTGTTTATTTGAAAGCAGGTCCGGTTCTGAGATTTTTGAGGTCTAAAGCCGATAATCAACTACTAAATTTCTAAGGTCCTTCACATTTTTTTTTATTGAATGAAAAAAAAAATAATTAAGGTAAAGAACAAAATATTTGTATTAAAATCACAAAAATACTTAGAAATTTTTTTTTTAATTAATTGAATAGAAAAAAAAAATTTACGTGTGCTTGCTGTGCTGAGATCAAAATATTTTTTAAAATCAAAATTCAAAACAAGAGTACCACCACTTAACAAAACACAAAACTTTTAAATTATGTGATGTGAACTATTAAACTTAAATAAATTCTTCTTGATGATGTAAATACCAATATTATAATAGCAATTAATTATGCAAAAGACAAGATAAATATTTAATTAATTAAATATAAAAAAAATAAATAAATAAAAAATTTACCTGTTTGGTGCTACTCCGTCCCTAAGCTGCTGGTGTGTGCTATATCAAATAAATGTAGGGAATGTTGGATTAATAGAAGATAGGGTTAGAAATTAGAAAAAATGGGCCTTTCAAATAGTTGGGCTGAGCCTTAACTATTGGTCTTTTAATGGGTCAAAACAATTAAGTTAGTTTGGGCCTTTTTAAAAAAAAAATTGGACTTAAAACATGCCCAATATATAATACTAACTTATAATAGGAGGGGCCCCTATTTTGGGCCTATTTTGAGAGGCCCTAAGCCATGGTCTTGTAGGCCTATGGCCAGGGCCGGGCCTGTTTGAAAGTACTAGTGAAGATTGCAGCTGCTAGATGACTAATCCATGAAAAAACTGAGTTAAATTGCTGAGTAGTTGATACAAATATTGGTACAAATCTGACAACTTGTTCAAATCAAAGACATATTTGAAGGAAAACAATATATATATATATATATAATATACAAGGAAGAATAAAATGTAAGCCTTGTCAAGTAAAACTAACCTTCCAGCCTCAGGACTGTATTCAATGACATAATAAGTCAGAGATGTCCAAACTAAAGTTACCAACATTGAAAGAGGAACCTTGAGAATGGTGGCTGGGATTGCATATGCCCAAGCTGGATAGAAGTACAAATCTCTTTGTTTGGAGAAAACTGCAAGTCTCCCAACAGTCATGGATAGCTCCGGGAATCCATAAAAAAAAAGTATGATGAGGGCATGGAACAAAGCACCCAGATAATAGTTTGCATGAATGGCATCAACAGCCATTCGCATTCTCAAAAATACAGTCATTGTGATAGATGCAATGATAACTGTGAGAATATATATTGTATATATGGTATATTAGGAATTAGGAAATTTAGGCAAATCCCTTTTCTTTATGTTTCCTTTTTCTGTCATAGATTAGGGCCATATAACTGATGCACTCTTTGTAAAGATATACAATTTAATATAAAGAAAAGCTTTCAGAAATCTTACATGGTATCAGAGCAAGGTTTGAAACCCTAGCTGCTTCGCTTGTCGCCGTCGTGGTTCGTTGGTCGAAGGGTCATCGATCTTGATCCCACCTTGGTTCGTCTGGTTCGTAATCAGCCGTAAGTCGTGGCTTCTCTAGTTTGTCTGGTTCATCACCATTAGCCCTCTCTGATTCGTCTGGTTTGTCACCATCGGAGTCGCTACTTTTCTCTCTCTCTCTCTTGCGATCTCTGTCTGATTTGCAGCTATCTTGCGAAGGTCTCTCTCTCTAGAGGCTTCTCTTCCTCGACTTCGGCTTTAGGTTCTTAGCTGCAGTCTCTGATTCGACTTGGGTCTCTCTCATCTGGAGTTCTGTATTGCTGCTGTATTGCTTCGTGGTTGGTCTGATCACATCTGGTACAATTTTGGTTTATTACAGTTTGGCTTTATTATAGTTTGGTCCATCCAGTCTTTGTTTATTACACTTTGCTCCATCAGTTATCTTTTTTGTTTTGGTTCATTTCGATGTCAGATACCCATCAGCTTCAACCTTATACAAAGCTCAAGAAAGGGCCACTGGCTTCAGATGAGTGTGCTTTCTGTCATCAGAGAGGTCATTGGAAGTATCATTGTCCCAAGAAATGATGTTTGTCTACTTTGCTTGTGTCTGTCTCGTCTTCTCAGCAATTTTCGATCAAGTTCTACGCTCCTCCTCTGAGTACCGTTCGGCCTCCCGCCGGTTCTACTATATCTGCTTCAACTTTTGATCCTGAGTTGGCTTCCTTGATTGCTCAGATTAGTCAGTTTCAGCATATATTATCTACCTCCCAGCCATCTCCATCTGCCACCGTTGTTTCCTTTCTTCATTCAAGTTTGCTTAGATCTTCTTCAAGTATCTCTTCGTCTGTCTGGCTTTTTGACTATGGTGTCTCTCATCATATAACTCATCATCTTTCTTTACTCTAGAATTGTGCTCCACCACCCTTTCTTATTACTGTTAATGCTGCTAATGAGTCTGGTATGTTAGTTATATCTATTGGGTTTGTCCCACCGTTTGCTATGTCTGTAGTCTCCATTCTATCTGTCTTATATGTTCCTCAGTTATCTGTCAGTTTATTATCTATTAGTCAACTTGATGTCTGTGCTTTTGGGCCCCGTTTGTTTTCAGAGGTAGAATGGAGGGGATTGATAGTGAGGGGATTAATAGTGAGGGGATTAAGTAAAATTGTGTTTGCTTTGATAATAGTTGTTAGTGTAAGGATTGTTAAATTATTTTTATATAAAATAAATATAAAATAATAAAACAAATAAAAAAAATACAAAAACATTAAACATTAATGTTTTAAAAAAAAATGCCCAACATGTAAAAAAATTTTAAAAAATAAAAATAAAATAAAAAATTTTCAGAAAAAAATAAAATAAATAAAATAATGATTTTTACTTAACAAAAAATACAAAAAATTAAACATTAATGTTCAAAAAAAATGCCCGACATGTAAAAAATAAAATAAAAAATAAATAAAAATAAAAAATTTCTAGTCCGCCGGACTATTTTTCTAATACCAAGTCCTGGAGACCTATCTGAATCCCATTTGCAAGGCCTATGTTAAGCCCTTCGGCTTAGTAGTCCCTTCCTCAACTCTGTAAACAAACAACACATTAAATGGGGTCCACAGCTATCCTAATCCCAATCCCCCTCTCATACCCCAAAACAAACAGGGCCTTGATGTTATCTTTTCTTCTCCTATCTGTTCTGTACAAGATCGGATGTCCAAGCAGCAGATTAGGACTGACAATAGAGTTGGAGACCTCTATGTGGTAGAGAGCTTGCATCTGCCTATGACTACTTCTCCGGTTGCCTTTCTTCTTTTCAGTTAGATTCTTTGTCCAATCCTTTTTATTTGTGGCATTCCATATTAAGGCATTTGTCTGTTGACTGCTTACGGTCTTTAGCTCAATCAGGTATATTGAGTAAAATTTCTCCTAGTCAACTTACTGAGTGTCAAGGGTGTAAACTTGTCAAAATGACAGCTTTACTTTTCCGTAACAGTATTTCTATATTTGCTACATTGTTTTCTTTAGTTCATATTGATGTTTGGGGTCCTTCTCCTATTCTCACCAAGGGGAGTTCTGCATACTATGTGTCATTTGTTGATGATTGCACCCGTTACACTTGGGTTTATCTAATGACTCATAAGTCCGATTTCTATCAGATATACCGTACCTTTTCAGTCTATGATTACTACTCAGTTTGGGTCTACCATTAAAGCGTTACAATTTGACTTGGGTGGGGAATATTTTAAAAATGAGTTTTGTTAGTATTTGGCCAATTTGGGTACCATTCATCAAACTTCCTGTACAGATACACCTGCCCAAAATAGTCGAGCCGAGCGTAAACACCGTCATCTCCTTGAGATAGCTAGGTCTCTTCTTCTCTCTACCTCAGTTCCAGCTTCATTCTGGGGGGGAGGCAGTTCTTACTCTTGCTTTTCTTCTCAACTGCATGCCTACTCCCTTTCTTTCTGGTCGGTCTCCTTATGAGGCTTTGTTCTCCTAAATTCCTAACTACTTCTTTCTTCATGTGTTTGGGTCTGCCTGTTTTGTCATTCTTCTCCACAAAGATAGGACCAAACTTAGTGCTCGGTCTGTCTTCTGTGTCTTTTTGGGTTACAGTCTTACTCAGAAAAGGCTATTGCTGTTACGATGCTGCCTCTCGTTGCCTTTATGTCTCCCGTTATGTTGTCTTTCTCGAACGTCTGTCTTACTTTCAGCTTCTCCCTTTCACTGCTCTAGTTTCCAAAGAGGATTTGGTTCACATTGCCCCATTTTCTTCTGAGGTCCCATTTGATGAATACATCTCCACTGTTCCTCTTGAGTCTATTCCTACTTCTCCGTTTGCGTCACCTATGGCTTTCTCTCATTCTTCAACTTCTTCTTCTCCTTCGTTGTTGGTCTATTCTCGTCATTAGGCTTCCTCACCACCAGTTGTCTTTACTCCTGTTGCTGCTCATTCTGCTTCTGATGACTCTGATCCTGCTACACACCGATATCCTACTCGTGAGTGTCATCCTCCAAATAGGTTGGATTGGTCTAATACATGTTTTTCTACTTCCTATAGTGCTTTTTTGTCTGTTATTCATTCTTTTTCAGAACCACAATCTTACACGAAGGCCTGTTAGGATCCTAATTGGGTTTAAGCTATGAAGGATGAGTTGTTTGCCTTACAGAAGACTAACACTTGGGAGTTGGTTCATTTGCCTGCTGGCAAGAATCTGGTTGGTTGCAAATGGGTCTATAAAGTCAAGACTCATTCTGATGGTTCTCTCGAGCGCTACAAAGCTCGCTTGGTTGCTAAGGGTTTCTCACAGGAGTATGATATTGATTATGAGGAGACCTTTGCCCCTGTTGCCAAGATGACTATTGTTTGCACCTTGATTTCTATTGTTGCTGTTCAACATTGGCCTCTTTATCAGATGGACGTTAAGAATGCTTTTCTTAACGGTTATCTCACTGAGGAGGTCAACATGCGTCCTTCCTCTAGTCTTCTCTATTCCTCTGGGCAGGTTTGTCGTCTTCGATGTGCTTTGTATGGTTTGAAGCAGTCTCCTCGCGCTTCTGCTTTCGACTCTGCTTTGTTTCTGAGATATACCTCGGCTAATTTTGTTGCTCTCCTACTCTATGTGGATGATATGATCATCACTGGCTCTGATTCTTCTGCTATCTCTGAGGTCAAGCAACATCTCTTCCGCTCCTTCAAAATGAAGGATCTGGGTCCATTTGGTATTGAGGTTGCCTCTTCTCCAAAGGGCTTTTTTTTGCCTCAAGCCAAGTATGCTAATGAGGTTATTCACTGTACCGATCTTACTGATACTAAGATTTCTGATACACCTATTGAGCTTAATGTGAAGCTCAACTCTACTAATTGTGTCCCTCTGGATGATCCCACGGTCTATCGTGAGTTGGTGGGTTGTTTAGTTTATTTGACTGTCACTCACCCTGATCTTGCTTATGCTGTTCATATGGTTAGTCAGTTCGTTTCTGCTCCTCGCTCTACCTATTGGGCTGCTTTGGTTCGCATTGTTCACTATCTCCGGGGAACCATCTTTTAGGGTTTGTTGTTGTCGTCCACTTCTTCTTTAGACTTGGTGGCCTATGCTGATTCTGATTAGGCTGGTGATGTTACTGATCACAAGTCCACCTCTGATTTCTGTATGTTTCTTGGCGATTCCTTGATCTCTTGGAAAAGCAAGAAACAAACTATTGTTGCTCGCTCTGCTGTCGAAGCTGAGTATCGTGCTAAAGCTCATGCTACTGCTAAGCTTGTTTGGCTTCGCTGTCTTCTCTATGATTTGGGTGTACCTCAGCCTTCTCCGACCTCCCTCTATTGTGATAACCACAGTGCTATTCAGATTGCCCACAATATTGTCTTCCATGAACGGACTAAACACATTAAGATTGATTGTCACTTTGTACGACAACATCTACAGTCTAGCCCTATATTGCTTCCTTTTGTTTCCTCGACGCCTGGCATCGGTCATCCCATTGAAATTTCTTTCCTTTCTTCAGGAGACCAAATAGTGGTTCACAAGTCAAGGTCAATTTTGCAATAAACCGTCTTATGAATTGCACTTTACCCAAAAAGCCTCGCACTGCCTTTTCAGTCCTTGGTGGTGGAATTTCTAGGATGACCTTGATTTTGGAAGGATCAACCTCGATGCCCCTTTGTGTAATCAAGAACCCTAGCATTTTCCTTGCTGTGACACCAAAAGTGCATTTCTGTGGATTCAGCCTCAACCGATATTCTCTAATTCGTTGAAAGAATTTTTTCAAGGTGGTGTAGTGGCCCTCTCTTTCTTTGGACGTGACAATCATGTCGTCCACATACACCTCGACCTCTTTGTGGATCATATCGTGCAAGATAATGGTTGTAGCCCGTTGATAAGTAGCCCTAACATTCTTCAGACCGAACGGCATCACCCTATAGCAGTAGGTTCCCCACGGCGTAATGAAGGTAGTCTTCTCTCTGTCCTCGGGGGCTATCAAGATCTGGTTATTCTTGGAAAAATCCATCCATAAAGGAAAGCAACGCATAGCCTGCGGTAAAGTCCACCAATTCGTCGATGTGCGGTAGAGGAAAGTCATCCTTCGGACTAGCTTTGTTCAGATCTCTGAAACCCATACATACCCGAATCCTGCCATCTTTCTTCGGCACCGGAACAATGTTGGCCAACCAAGTGGGATACTCAGATACTAGCAAAAACCCTGCGTCTATTTGCTTGGTGACCTCTTCCTTGATTTTCAAAGCCTAATCCGGGTGTATTCTTCGAAGCTTTTGCTTGATGGGTCGGGCCTCAAGGTCAAGAGGGATCCGATGCTGTACAATCTCAGGATCGATTCCAGGCATGTCTTTGTAGGTCCTCGCGAAAACATTTTTGAAATCTTTTAATAAAGCGA